AAGAGTAATGTGCACTTACATGTACCAAAAGACACACATAGGCTGGTTTATAACAGTTGAAATAGCCTCAAAGGGAAGACAATTAAAATGTCTAACAACCAAACAGTATCCTGTATCCTGTTGAGACACTGTCTAGTTCTACCAGTTATCGAGGGTACCAACATCTTCAACTATTGTCAAATTGTCTATTTCTCTCTAATTCTATCACTTTCAAGTATCTTGGGGCTCTATTTTTTAGGTCATGTATATTTATTATGTAAAGATTCTTGAGTTGGGGGAGGTCTGGTGGTGGGTGAATTTCACCTTGATGGTCTCCACGGGGCACACGACCACTGTGGCCTCGGGCCGCGCCAGTGCCCAGGTGCCCAGCAGCTTGCTGCTGAGACACTGGCCGGCTGCCTTGGGGACAGAGCGGTGGAGCAGGATGCCGAGGCCTCAGTACAGGCCCGGGACGCCCAGCTGCCGTGGTGGGGGCGAGTGCTCCGTGGGGAAGCTGATGCACATGGCGAACCCAGCTGCCAGGACGCCTAGGGGAGCGGGGACCCAGGTCCTGAGACCCCTGGCCAGGTCCCCATCCCTCACCCTCCTTGTCCTGGTGAGGTGCAGAGAGGCGACACACAGGGTGAGGCCCCACATGCTCGCTGGGCACCAGGTCTGCTACCCCCCACCTTGTGAACTTTTAAGAAACATTTTTTATGAACGATTTGAGGCTAAGTTGGAGACATTTTGCCCCGTTAACACTAACTACTTTGGTATTTAAGAACGAGGACACTGTCTCACATAACCACAGTACAGTTATGAAGCTCAGGAAATTTAACTCATACAGTGTTATCGTCTAATCCACAGCCCATTCAGGTTTCATCTATTTTCCTAAACATGTCCAATATTTGATTTTTGTCTTTTGTCCTAGTAATGTCCTCGAGAGCTCAGTTTTTCCTGGTTTAACAGTACTCAGTGCTGGGTCATACTTGGCATCATTGCACGTAGCTGTCATCTCCTTAATCTCCTGGAACATTCCTTAGCCTTTTAGCCCATTTGTTTCCTGATGTTGACTTTTTCAGTTAGAAATACAGTGTGTTTATTTTGCACAAAATTCCTCAATTTAATTTTGTCTGGCTTTCCTTCATGATCAGATTCGGGTTACGTAGTTTTGGTAGCAAAACCACAGAAGTGATGCAGTGTCCTCAGTGCATCGACCAGAAGGCAGGTAGAGTCCGTTTGTGCCATTACTGGTGAGGGTGAGGTGTTTCTCCTCCAGGTTTCCCTGCTTGAAGCTATTATTATCTTGTTTTGGAAATTATTACGTAGTTTGTGGCGAGATACTTTGACACCATGTAAATATTCTGTTTCTCATTCAGCTTTTACCTATGACAACTGTGGTATGTAAGTTGACCGACTATAGCATTTTACCTATCGTTATCTATTACCA